AATAAATAAGGCCATTTTAAAGTGATAATTGTTAAAAGAATATTAAATGGAGAAATAGAATAGTGGGTACTAGTGAAGAAAGTAAGTTAGAAGAAAGGTTCTTCGCATAAACTGTTCAGAGAAAGCTTCCGAAAGGACATAGTTGGAACCGAGACTGGAATGATGAGAAGGAGCGAGGGATGAACGGATCTGGAAGAGGAGCAATCCCAGCAGAGCGAACAGCAAATGCAATGGCCCTGAGGATGAAGAAGGTGGCCCGTGTGGCTGCAGCTCGGGAAGGGGAAATGAATGACACGGGAGGAGGTCGCAGAGGTAGGCATAATCCAGACTGTGTGAGAATTCTGTAAGGTCACAGTAAAACTCTAAGTGTGACGGGAAGTCATGAAGGATTTTAAGGAATGCAACATACGATTTAAGGGATAAAGCATGCCATTTAGAAAGACTGCCTAGGCATCAGCATGGCAAATGAATTACAGTGTGGTCAAGTCCAAACACAAAGTCCCTAGGAGTCCAGCGGCTTGCTCTTTCATGTAAAAACTCTCTGGCCACAAACTGCATTCACGGTGCATTCAAATACTTTTCAAAACACTAAATTCTAAACAGATTTTTCACGTATTTTATGCACAGCCTCACAGGAACAATCTAAAATGTTAAATCTGATACTTTTATATAGTCTAACTCCTCAGAAAAATAAGAAAATCCCTAATAACAAGATATAATACTGAGGACAGAAAAGCTCCAACTATAAAAAGGTGATGAGCTGCCAAACACCAACCAGCTCATAATTTCATGCAAGTGCTATGCAAGTGTTTCAACTTCAACTTTCACATTTACCCACATATTTACTCTTTCAGGTTCTCTTCATTTCTTTATGTATATCTGCCTTTCCATTTACTGTCATTAAAAAGTTTCTTTAACCTTTCTGGTAATAGAGGCCTGATGGCAATAAATTCTCTAAGTTTCCTATTTGGCTAAAAATGTCAATTTCACCTTCAGTTTTGAAAAATAGTTTCAGTGGTTATAGAATTCTAGATTGACTTTTTTCAGCACTTTCAAGAGGAACTGCATCGTCTCCTGGCTTGCACTGCTGTGGACACAAAGCAAGCAGTACCTCTAACCCTGTTCCCTGTGCATGATGTGTTTTTTTCCTCCGGCTGTTTTTAAGACTTTTTTTCTTTTTCATTGATTTTCAGCCATTCATTAGGTTTATGGATGTTTATCTTGTTTGGGTTTCATCAAGTGTCTGGAGTCTGCGAGTTTATAGTTCATAAAATTTTTGGCCATTACCTCAAATAGTTTTTTCTGCCATTCCTCTTACCCCTAGCCCAAACCACTCCATTATACATATGATAAACATCTGATATTGTCCCACAGGTCACTGGCTGTGTTCTTTTTATTTCTGTGTGTGTTTCAATTTGGGTGGTTTCTATTGCTCTGTCTTCAAGCTCACTGACCTTTTCCGAAGCAGTGTCAAATCTGCTGGTAAGCTTGTCAAGTGATTTTATTTCATGTATTTCTCAGCACTAGAAGTTCCATTAGGTTCTTTAAAAATACCTCTCTTCTCATTATGTTCACATTTCCTTTTAAATCCCTGAGCATGACTGTAACAGCTATTTTAAAGTCCTTTACTGCTATCTCTATTATCTCTGTTGTTTCTGTGTATGTTTCTATTTACGGTTTTTTTCCTCCTTATTATGGGTTACATTCTCCTGCTTCTCTGCATTAGTAATTTTTTACTGGATTCTGAAAAATATGAAAATATGTTGTTGAATAACTGAATTTTATTTTCTTCCCTTAAAGCATTTTTGATTTTCTTTGATAGACAGTTAAATAACTGTGGACAGTTTAGTCCTTTCAAGGATTATTTTTAGGCTTTCCTTAGACAGGTCTATAGTTGTCTTTACTTTACTAAGACATGACCTTGCCGTAGTTTCAATTCAATATCTCCAGTGTTCAAAAACATGCTGTAATGTTTAACTGGCCAATTTGGTCAACTCCTTTATTATTCTCATAGTTTTTTTAGGTGATCATCTTTTTTTCCTCAAAAGCAATCATATAATCCATAATTAAAATTTTGTATCCATTCCATTATCTTTATTCCTTTTTCTTATTTGATTACAGTTGTCAAAACTTCCAGAAATATATTAAACACTGTCTGGTTCCTGATTTTAATGAGACATCTCTAACGCTTCATTAAATCTTTTGTTAAATAAAGACTTGTTGTTAAATGAAAATGACAAGTGAATAGTCCAAGGGCGTGGGTGCATATATAAGAACATGTCTGGAGGATACTCAAGAAATTTTTAATAGTGGTTTCCCTGCAAAACTAGGGGTTTGGAATCAAAGGTTTACTTCATATTAAGTATATGCTATTTCAATGCATGTACATTACCCAATACATGTATTTATTTTTCTAATTAAAACATCTAGCTACATAAAAAGAGAAAAGAAAGTGAAGGAGAAAAAGAGGGGAGGGTAGAGAGAGAGAGATACAGACAGCCAGCCAGACCGACAGAAATGAGGGAGGGAGAGAAGGAAAGAAGAGGCAGAAAGGGGAGAGGAATCCATTTTACTGTTGCTTACGCAGTCTGAGAAGGAAGGAGAGATACAGTTAAGAAGGTGAATACTGATTACTACTTAGAAGTGAGCAGCCGGCATGGTAGAGCATGTTTTGTTTGATACAAAAATTGGGTCGCATTCTTCTCTATGCTGCTTTTTCACTTAGCACATCGCAAGTATTATTTTCCAAAAACGCACTTCCAGAACATCATTTCAAATGGCTGTGTCGCATTCCACTGTATGGACATGCCACCCCTTTGTATTTAATGTGTTTTATCCTATTTTTATTAATATAAATATCACTGCCATAAACATCCTTACAATTAAATCTTTTACATACTTCACTTACTTAAGATAAATTCCCAGAAGGAAAATTACAGTGTCAAACATCAGGCACATTTCAAAGTGTCTGAAACCTACTGTCAGTCTACCTGCCGAGTTACTCAAATGTCCAATTCCGAAAACTAGATGTGGTTATCATTTCCTCACTCCGCCCATCCTAAATGCCATTGTTCTCTTTCTGTCAATTTTCTAGGTAAGAAAATGGAACCTTATTTTAAATCTAAATTCTTTTTGATTACTAAAGTGCTGAAGATTTTTTATTTTTTAATGGTATTTCTTTTTTGAATCATCCATTCGTGTATTTTAAGAGTTTTTTAAGTAATTGGTGGGTATTTTTCATAACAGTCTGTAAAAGCTATTTATATATTAAGAATGATACCCATATGCCTTCAATACCATTACTACTATTAACACTTTTCCTAGTTTGTTATTCCCCTTAAATTTTATTCATGAGGTCTTATACTATCTTTAAGTTCAACATGATTGAAAAATTCAAGAGAAGCAAGCATATGTTTAAAATTTAAATATTTCCTGAAGTAAAACTTTGTCAAATGCCTGCTTCTTCTCCCCCTTTGATTGAGTTCTCTAAATTTTAAGGTGTAAAATCTTTTTAATGGTCATAATTTTACCCACTTACTACTTCCTCAGCAATAAAGAGATCCAAACTAAGTATTTATCCAAAATCACATAGACAATTTCCTCTTAGAACCCCTCCCTGAACCTTGGATGCCAACAGAATTTCCTTCTATGGTCGAGCTGGAGAATTCAGTGACATAGCAGTCTGAAGGTTATACAGAAGATCCCAAAGCTGTTGGCTGGCGAGTACTGACTGCAATCAACGTGATGAGGTCATCGGAGAAAGGGAAGTTTACTTTTATTTATGAAAATTAGAGAGTTTTCATGGAGCACTTTAACTTGCTTTTGTAAAAGACTAAGATATTAATAGGTGATACAGATCAGGTAGGGCATCTTGAGTGGAGGAAATAATTTAACTTAAAAGAGATGTGCAGATGAGAAAATACAGGAGAAAAGCTGGGGCTTTTAGAGAAAAGGCTGGTGATGAAATACAGGGAACAAGTATATATGAACCTCTAGATGCCTCAGTTAATTCTTTAAGTAAGGAGATTTATGAAAGGACGAAGGTGCTATTTCTGTGAGGAGGCTGGACCTTTAACTAGAAAGCTCGCCCTGGAGTTACTGAGAGTGTAAACGAACAGGTATGACTGAAATATTTCTATAATTTACATAAAGTGGTACAATATTAATTCTATTAATATTAATTCCATAATTCTATAATATCAATAACCCAAAACTAATTACATACAGAGTGATTCCTACAGCAACCACTAAAAAAGCTAATAAATAAAAATCCTGATAAACTAAAATATATTCATCAACTCAAAAGACATTAAATGTAAAGAAATGAAGAAAAAAGAGAACTTAAATCAGACTGCATCACTAATTACATGTTAATGAACTAAAAGGCAGATATTGTCAAACTGGCAAGATCCAACTATAAGCTGTTTCCAAAAAGACTATAATTAAATGACACAGTTAGGATGAAAATAAGTGAGTAAAGATATACATGACAATAGTATAAGAATGGTGGAATAGCTACATTGACATCTGATAAAACAAACTTCAAGACAAAAATATTACCAGAGATGAAAAAGGACACATTGTAATAATAAAAGGGTGAAGTCATCAGAAAGATATATCATTACTATGTAAGTACTTAAGAGTAAAGCTTCAAAGTACATGAAAACATAACAGAAATAAAGGGAGAAGGAGACAATCATAGTTGGAATAGTTTAATACCTCATCTTAGCAACTCATAAACAAGTATATCATTAATTGACCAATTAACTAAAAATCAGAAAAGATACAGATGATCTGAACAACACCATCAACTACCTTACCCTAACTGATATTTACAGAACATTACACCCAACAACTGCAGAGGATGAATTCATTTATATTTACCAACGAAGAGCGTATGCTGAGCCATAACCAAGTCACAATAAATTTAAAAGAACTGAAATTATACAAAGTATCTTCTATAATCATAATTAAATTAAATCATAAATCCAAGCAACAAGATACCTCAGAAATCTCCTAACATTTGGCAAATTGATCATAATTATAAATAACTGATATGCAAAAGAAAATATCCTAGAAGAAATTAGAAAATATTTTGAACCAAATGAGAATGAAGAAACAACATATTAAAATTTCTGGGATGCAGCCAAAGCAGTCCTTAGAGAGAAATTTATAGCTTTAAATTTTTTATAGGGAAAAAAATGTTTATTAGGGAAAAAAAATGAGAGAAAGCTCTAAAATCAAAGGCCTATGTTTCAAATGCAAAAAGCTTTAAAAAGAGTGAAATAACCCTAAGTAAAGAAGCAGAAATCAATGAAACAGAAAACAAAAATAAATCAATGAAACAGAAAACGAAAATAAAAGAACTGAAGTTAACTAAACATAACTAAAGGCAAAAGTCAGTTCTTTTTAAATAAATAAAAGAAAATATTATATAACCATACAGGTGAGGGAGAGAAATCTAGATTTAGGAGAACAAGCAAAAAATACTGGGATAAAATTAAGGCAGGTGAACTGTTTCAAAGTAAAGAACATATTTAAAAATCAGAAAATGTTTTAAAGAAATATGTCTCTGCATATATGCAGAGAAAAACAATTTAAGTCTTAAAATGTATGGCGGGGGCAGATCATTAGGAATCCTAAGACTAAGAAGGTCCAAAAAATCAATTAATCTAATTCTTTCAGAACAGAAATAGCCACATTAAAAAGAGAATTTACCTTTTCAGATTCACCATTGCCCAGGGAATCCCAGTAGGTGTGTTAAAGGCAGGAAGCAGTTTCTCAGCCAACTGGACTGCTTTAATCTTGAAAATCTAAGATAAAAACATGAATATTTATAAATAACAGTCATCAATTCATAAATTAAAGCCATTGCCATTTGCTGGTCTCTCGTATGATGCATACCACAACGTACTGGAGACATGAAGGAAGCACAGAAAGGAAAACAGCATCTCTTTGGTACCATGCAGCACACAGTAATCGGAAAAAAATGTTTGTACAATGGATAATGAGAAAAGCTACCAAATGTGTAATGGCCTAAAACTACAATTTACTGAAAGGGAAGGACATGGTTTTGGTGTTGATAGTATCTACATTTTCAGCTGGCAAAAGATCTAAGAGAAAACATCAGACTGTGAAATGTTTATCCAAGGTATACAAGCTTAGTAAAAATATTAAAACAAAAGAAAGAGATGCAACTCATTTGGGATAAATGCCCATGAAGTACTCTAAGCATATTTATGTCTCAACATTTTCCATCAAGGCTTATGCAAATTATAAAAGGGAAAAAAATGTTTGAGTTCTCATTCCAAGTTTAATTAGAGAGCTATAAATGCTTCATCCCTCGGTCCCAACTGCTGCTTTTTTTGGTACCCAAAGCAATAAATTACCTAAATATCAGTAGTTTCCAAACTTTTAAAATCATGTACTATTACCAAGATATATATTGCAAAATTTCCAATATTCTTAGCATAGTGAAACAGATAGGCTGGTGTACCCCACTTTGGAGACTACTGACTTAAGGCTCCAAACTGAGACTGGGTCATAATATCCTACATGCCTCAAGCCTATCTCCTCAAACGGATTTCAGATTGACTGGTTATTGAAGTTCCACCTTTTCACCGCAGTCAACGGTTTTCAATAAAATATTATTCAATTCTTCAAATAAGTAACGTACAGAACTGATCAAAATTCTAAGCTAAGATTATATGAAATAAAGTACAATAGTATTGGGGGTAGAATACTAGAGAGAAATATGTACAAGTCGACAAAGAAATATGATGTTAAGATATTTTACGAGGTTCCTTAAACCTCGTAAGGTTTAAAAGCTCTTGGCAGAACTTTTAATTAGACAGTCTTACAAAACAACAATTTACCATTTCCTTAAATACCTATTCTAACACAAAAATCTCAATTAAAAAATGTAACAATTTAAGGTGAAAGTTTTAATAATTTTCTCATATTCAGTCCATTAATTAAGAAAAACAAATATAAATTTGGTTCTCTGTATTAACATTTATATGTTGGTAAAGACAAATTACATTCTATAATAAACAACCGTTGCTTCATGAGGACAAAGGGACTAAATTCTTATTTAAGAACTAATATTAGTGTCATGTATTTACATTAATCACATTTTTATATTACACCTTTTCTACATATAAAACTAATAATCGAAATGGTAAAATGTCTTACAAACTTTTTCTAAATGAAAAACACTCTTATTTCACTTCCAGAAGTAACTGATGACATATTTCTAATTTTCAGCTACCTGTGTCATTAATAAGTTAACATATAAAGTAACCTGTTATTATACACAGCCCCCCAAAACAATATCCTGTCACTGAGAAAAATTTCCTTATATAGTATGCTTATCTTAATTTATTCACAAATATACAAACTCTTTAATGAGAAATATATCATAGCCTTACATTTTCTACTTCAGAACCATATTTTGGTAGATAACAGCAACAGCTAATTTAAAACAAATTAGTTTTTAGTATGCAATGCAGGCAAATAAAACAAAATCCAAAATGTATCAATTCCTTCCCATTCCTATCCCTTAACTACATAGTTCTTTCTACAAGGCAAATAGCTATCAGCTTCCTGAACAGCTCATAAATATTTTGTGCATGTTCCACACAGGGGGGCACCCCCCCAGGCAAAGTCCACACACACACACACACACACACACACACTGTCCACCACCTCCTTCTCCTTAGTGGCTGCAGAACTTCCCCTTTTGTGGATGTAACGTAACTTATTTAGTCAGTCCCCTATTGACAGACATTTGTTTCCAAACTATGTGACTACAGAAGATAAATTCCAGAAGTGGAACTATTAGATCAATGGGCATTTTCATTTGTAATTTTGATATTTAATGCCAATTTGTCCTCTACACGTTTTACTAATTTATATTCCTACCAGAATTCAAGTGGCTGGTTCCCTGTATTTTTAACACAAAAGGTACCAAATTTTTCTTGCTGCCAAACTGAGAGTTGAAAAGGGATACTCCACTGTCATTTTTATTTTCATTTCTTTTATTATGAACGTGGCAGCTACTCAACTCAACCTCATTCAAATCTCCCTTCGATCACACCTCCATACACTGCAAAGGACGGGAAATACGTAGCATTTCCCAGACTCCGCTCCAGCTAAGGTTCTAGATATGGCCTGGGCATTGCCAAGTATACACAAATATGCAGTATCTGGAAGGAAGAAGTGAGCGAGCCGCGGCAGCAGTCTTGGGAGTACGGTGGCGAAAGGGTCTGTTCCTTCTGTGGCAGCTCTAGCAGCAGTGTCAGTGACCGGTCCCCATCTTCACAGGTACCTTGTGGGCAACGAAGGCAATGGAGCTGGTGCCCGATCAGCCACATGGTATGCCTGGGCGTTCCTCCTGATGCCGGGTCCCAAGCTACGTAACAAAAATATCTGATTTCATGGCCCTCCCAAACATTCTGTTAGCTGGTCACTGCCCTTTAATAAATCACGAGGTCAAACAGCTTTTGTTTTCTGCAACGAAGACTCTTGACAGGTAAGATGAGGAAAGTGAATTATTCACTTATTTAAGAGCTTCAATAGTATTTAAATGAAGACTTCTAAAACATTTCGTTTATTTACTGAAAAAAAATTGTATGTACTCAATGCCTGTTACATAAATTCTCTGACTTATTTGTATCGGACCAAATTATAGGTAATGGAACTATGCTAAAACTGGTCCTGGGTATAGAAGAATTAAGACTGGGAGAATTATACCTAGGTCTGGAAGAACTGGAAGAAATGGGATTAAAGAGAGTGTGAAAGATTATAGAGCACTTTAAATTACAAGTAACGAAATTTAAAGTGACACAACAGATTACAAGGACCATGACAGATTCTTAAGGACAGCGATATCAGAATCCAGGTATGTTTTTAATTGTTTTCTTTATTGGATTATTTATTTTAGGTAATATTCTTGCAGCCTATTTTCAGCCTTGCAGTCAGAGTGAGAATGTTAAACAGAAGTAGCATTGAGAAAGCTGAAATGATTCCCTGTCTTGTTCGGAGTAGAAACCAGTCTTTAAAAGGACACAAATCTTTCTAAGTGATGGATTTCTATCATTTCTGCGGCCTCACTCCCTGCTTTGTTCCTCCTCCAACAACCTACTTCCAGCCCACTCGCCTCTTTCGTTGATCTCTGAGATGCCATTTGTGCTTCTGCTTCACTGTCTTTTCATCTGCTGTTCCTTTCAACTAAATGCTCTTATATGTGAGATATTCACATGGCTCTCTCACCTCCTTTAGGTCTTTCGCAAATGCTACCTTTGCACACGCTCCCTGAAATTTAAAGGTCCTTATCCCCTTCTATGCTTTACTTTTCTCCTTAGCACTTATCACTGACAGTGTATGTATGTATACGTATACGTGTGTAAACACACACACTCTCCGATGTATCTATGTTGTCTATTGTCTGTTACCCCACAGCAGAATGTAAGCCATAAATGGGCAGAAATTGGTTTTGTTTTATTCACTGTTGTACTTAAAAATTAAAAGCACCTTGCATATAAGAAGTGCTCAACAAATGTTGAATGAATTAATTTAAGAAGCTAAACGGTACAGAGATTTATAATAAACAAGTAAATTTTCTCTCTCTTCATACCAAACCCATCTCCCTGAGATATTTGATGTTAACATACAAGGTTTTAAGCACTTTTAAAGATATTCTTCGAAAATGCTGGGATGATGACAATGATGATAATGACAAACACATACATTAACCCATTTAATCTTCACAACAACCCAATTTGGTAAGTATTATTGTTACTCCCATGTTACAGAGCAGGAAAAAGGCATAAGACTGAAGTTAACTTGCCCAAGGCCATACGCTAGTGGGTGGTGAGCCTGAACTTAAAGCCAGGCAGTCCAGCTCTAGAGTCCATGCTCTTGCTTGACTAATTCACTCTACTGTTGACCTCTGAACAATACTTACATGGTAGACGTGCGCAATTTAAACCCGTATTGTTCAAGGGTCAACTGTATTTTCAATCTGCAGTTGGGAATCTACATATATGAAGGCCCAACTCAAGTCATAGGAGGATTTTCGACTGTGCAGTGGGTTAGCGCCCTTAACCCCTGCATTGTTCAAGGGTTAACTATATTAAATACAGATACAGACATCTAAATATCAATGATTAGATCTGGACGTAGATATTGTGTTATAAGGCAGTGAACTGACTTTGACTCCTGAAAACCCTGCAAATGACTGATGCCAGTGTCCTGTCCTCAACAGCCCTGCTCAGCTCCTGCGGACTCCTGCCCATGGCTTCTTTTATATAATCAATCCATCTCATAATTGGTCCTCCTCTTCTCCTGCTGCTTTACATCTTCTCAGCGTTACCGTCTTTTCCAAAGAACCCTGCCTTCTCATGATGTGTCTGAAGGAGGACAGTTTGTTTTGTTATTTTGGCCTCCAGTGATGTTTCAGGCTTAACCGCTCTGGGACCCACTTGTTCGTCTTTCTGGTCGTCCAGAGTATCCACGGTGCTCTCCTCCAACACCATCTTTCAAATGAATCAAGTTGGTTTCCTATCAGCCTTCTTCACTGTTCAACTTTTGCATCTGTACATAGTAACTGGGAATCCGGGGGTGTGGGTGATCTTGGCCTTGGTCTCTAATGACACATCTTTGCTCGGTGGTCTTTTTCCTAATCTTCCATTACTGGCCTTCCAAGTCTCATTCTGAGTCGCAGCCTCCTTTTGGTTGATTGGCTACAGTCCCCATGTGAATTGATGACTGAACCAAGGAAAGCAAAACCTTTAACCATTTCAATGTCTTC